AATTTATATATCATCCCATACATGCTTCATGACATCAAGTATGATCACCTATATGATTAGAAGAAAATTATGGTTTTTATCTTGGACGAAACGGGATCGTCCCATGAAATATCAAAGATCATCCAATACAATCATCATAGATTGTCTAGTATGATCAGCATAGATCATCCTGTATGATATAATCGAGCAATCTAAATGTAATTAGTCCCTTAATCATAGGATTAATTTAGGCATGATTGTCATAAATCATCCAGTATGATGTATATTATTCTATACAATCAGAATAAAATTTGAAAATTAAAATATTGCCTAAATTATGATTGGCAACTATTTTTCATGTCTTTAACTAATTATCCTTTATGATCTGAATCATCTAGTACGATTAGTTAATCAATCATACTTAAATAAGTGTGCCCTAATTAGGGTTTACCATATAACTGATTATCTAATATAATTTACATCGTACTATATGATAATTTTAAAAATCCATTTTTCTCCTAACGTACTATCTCACCTACTTGAGTGTGTACGTGCAAGGTTAATTAGCTTGGGATCCACCAGATACATGACTTGGCTCAAGAAAGGTAAAAAGTATATTAATATTGAAATTACAGACAGGCTAAATCCTAATCTACCCAATCTTAAGCTGATTTACATTGGAAGTGAACTTGAGGACCTAAAAGAAACAATAATATTTGTTATCATCAAAATCACAGTACTTGAGTCCAGATTTGTAACACATTTTACTCCATGGAGGCTTATTATATAGCACCAAAATCACTGGCCAAATGTTGTACGTACTGCTCATAATCATGAAACACCAAAACCATCAGTAGCTAAACAAAGGCGAATATTAAGTGGATCTATGGTAAGTTCAAGAAATATGGATACAAATGATTTCCATCTTCTCCATCAGCTGGCTGTCATAGCGTACCATCTATATTTCATTGTATGGCATGCTAAATCATCTCCTCTGCCATTTTTTAAATTAGTTTTAAATAATCTTTGAAGTCTTAGAATCAATGAAAAATATTGTAGAATTTTAGCATGTTTCATTTGAACATTTTATCTTGTGTAATATTTATCTTTTGATTAGGAGCCCAGCTTGATACTCTACAGACTTCATGACATACATTCTCATTAGACTTATCTCTCCAAAATAATATGTAATCATTAAGTCTTGCATATATCTTGGTATAACTATGATCAAAAGACTTCATTAATTTTTTAACTTCATTTGTACTTATGGGCAATGATGTCACTTCAGGAAATGCTTCATTAAGTAACTCTAATAACATATCGAAAGATCTTGTAGTCCAAGAGTTTAGGCATTTTAAATGAAATAAATATAATATGAATAATAACTTTGAAAATGTCTTACATCCGGGATATAATTCTGCACCCAGATCTTCTAATAAATTTAACTATTTTTTTCTAGTTTATTTGAATCTTGAGTAAAGTTTTCATGCTGATCAACTAAGTTAATCGATTCATTAATTGGAGCAAAAGTATCCCTCAATAATCCTTCAATATCTCCTATATATGGTTGCTCATTTTAAGTAGTTTGTGATTTAAAACCATAAATACTAAGAACACCTTCATTTTATGTACCTCTAATAACTTGATGATCCTCCCTATGTCGATTTTAAACAACATACCCCATAAAGAATCCATTGGTGATAATGCTTTCCTTGACATCTTGTACTAAATGAAAATATCTCTTAATGCACGATTTGCATGGTCATAATATCTTTCATAATAGATTCTTACTACGACTAGAGAAATCTAAGAAGTCTTCTACTCCTTCGTTTTATTCATGACTCCATCTTGACTTGGTTATCCAACTCTTATTCATCTTAGATTCAACTGTAGTATTTAACCATTAACAATAATTAAGAAACTATTTCAATTCATATTTTTGTAGTCTCATCTAGAAATACTAAAAGTTAAAAAAGAAATAAGCATTTATTTAAATGATGGGCCATTTAAACTTTATTCCAATGCAACAAAAGATGGTATGAAATTAATTACATAATTCATGAAATACCATTAATAAACAAATAATCTTTATTTTGACTTGTTCAATCTATTCAAGTTCTATTGTACATGGAGTATTAATAGAACCCATAATAATGGTTCCAATACATATGAGAATGTTGTATATAAATAAAAGCCATCATGTCAAGTTAAATTTTTACAACTCAAAGTTACTAATAGCTATCTTGAATTAAAAATACTCAATGATACATTGGCCTAGATGTTTTCCTTGAGAAAAATGTAGATGTCTAAGAACTTATGGCTCATGAGACCCAACAAAGATATGAAAAAGTAATTAAATACTAAATTAGGTAGCTTCAATGGTGGTTTAGGACATAAATTCAAATGGGTGCATATGATTTTTTGCTTTATCAAATAACAAAAACTTACCAAGACAAAATTATTGGATACTTAAATCATGCATTATTTGAATTAAATGATAACTTTAATATATTTCAACAAATTCTACTTGTTCATGGCTGTTGTTTGTCATAGCTATCAATATTGCATAAAATAGAAGATAAATTAGAGGTACTATTGATAGAAACATGAAAAATTAGGCATAACATGTGATGAATCAAGCACAATAAAATAGTATATATCCACCATTAGAAAAAATAGACAACATAGCAAACACAAGCTCATCAATTGTTCAACAACTACGTATGAACATCTAATGTTTTGTTAAATCATATTAAAATAGCACATAAAAACATAATCTAAAACTAAAGAACAATAAATTCATCCACTTATAAAATAAAACTGGCACTAAACAAAAACAAACCAAATAAAGTACAGTAAAAAAGAAATCTACAGGAAGTAAAAGTGAAAACTAACACAATATGAACCAACTATTTTGATATATATCTATTCTTTTGATAGATGTGTATTAATCTAGGAAAATAAAACATAAAATAACACAGAATAGAAAGGCATCTACTAAGAAAAAGAAAAAAAAATTGACAATGGATAGCAACATAAAAAAAAAAAAAAAAAAAAAAAAAAAAAAAAAAAAAAAAAAAAAAACGAATAGAAAAACTACAGAGAAGTTTTTGTTAGAATGCAAGCGCTGAAGTCGGCGTCGAAGCCGGAGTCAACGTTGACATCGGCGTTGGCATCAACGAAGTTATTTAGGGATGGTGATTTGCAAAAGAGATTTTCATTACTGTTTTTTACTTCCATTTGATTTCTCATTTTAGGGATTAATATAAAGAAACAAGAAGAAGAACGAGAAGAAGAGGGAGCAGAATTTGAAGAAGAAGAATTTGAAGAAGAAGATGAGGAAGGAGGGACAGACACTCACATTGAGAAATGACCAGCCAATCAAGATTTGCCATAGGAGAAGAGCTACGCCCGACGTCGCCATGAGAAGAAGAGTTATTCCATCACGCTTGGCAGTTCATTCAAGAAGATCACGCGAGCACAAAGAGTCACGAGAATAAGAGGCGAATTAGAGATTCAGGTAGTTTAAGTCACAAGTGCGGTTTCGGGGGTGTTAATTTGACCGGTTAAAATGAGTGCAAAAGAAGCTTTTTTGCAGCGGTTTTAAAACCACCAAAAAAATTGATGCGAAAAATACTATTTTTGGGTAGTTCTCTAATTAGTAGATGAATTCTAGCATTTCATTTGCAAAAATTGTTGTGTATATTTTTTATTTATGTTAGTTATTAATTTGACCAAAATTCTACATTCATCCATAACACTTCAAATGTAAATTTTTTCTATTATAGTTTAATATATTTATGAGCTTTAGGCTTTGTTTTAGACAACTTTCTTACTAGTTTGTTTCTCTTATTACAACAATAATTTTGTTTGGCCACTATTTCTTAAATGCTTTCAGTAAATTTTGATGTTAGGATACTACTTATACAACCACTTTCAAAAAAGTAGTTTTTTTCATAGCAAATTTACATTCATTTTCAATTAAAAATTGCAGCCGCTTAAAACAGAAACTTAATATGTATTCAATTGATTATTTAGCTTGTAAACTAAATGAATTAGAATTTGATGATTGGTGGCCATTATTCTTGCAAAATATTGTGGGAGAAATATCATTAGCATTGTTTTCTAGAATAAATAATCAATAATGAAGTTAAAGTTTCTTCATAGAATAAATAATCAATAATGAAGTTAAAGTTTCTTCATGTAAATGAAAATTCTGAAGAAACTTGCTTAATTTTTATCTTTTGACAATTATAAGGTAAAATATTGTTTAGTATTTCTAATTCTTGATTCACAAAGTAATTTTATTTATCTTTATCCACTTTATTTTATATTTTCGTTTTTCGTGCTTTGTTTTTTTTTAATACTCAAATATATGTATATTTTTATTTTACAATCTTATAACATTAATTTTATAAAAAATTGTGCCATCATTCCCATTCTGAAGTTAATTAGAGGTTGAAGTGTATCTGATATTTACTTTTTTAATTTTACTACGTAATATAACATATTAGCCCACGACAACAAGTACTTTCATGCACATGCCAACTTTTGTAAACATTTAAAACAAAGGCCCGTGACTTAAAGCGACCTAATTGGAGTCGCTTGTTTTACACACTCAACAAATAAATATAATAAAAATTTACAGTTACGATCGTGTTTCTGAGTGTTGCCTATAAAAGGCCTAACTTGCTACGTAAAGCTGCTCATATTGAACCCAAAGCAGCTAACTACCTCAGAATCAACGAATGGAAAAGGTTCTTCACAAAGGTTTTAAGTATGATACAGTGCCTGAAAATTATGTCTTCCCTCCGGAAGAACGACAAAAGAAGATCGCAAGCAATAAAAGTATCCCGGTCATTGACCTTGCTAATGCTAAGGCTTATATTGGCCTTGGTCATGATGAGATCGTAAAACAAATCCTTGAGGCTGGCAAAGAATTCGGAGTCTTTCAGGTCATCTATCATTAATTTCAATTTACAATTTTAAATATTTATCCAACTTATATATATAATGAAGTGATGAGTGAAATGTTAGAAATTATGAAAGAATTCTTCAACATGCCTTTGGAAGAAAGAGCTGTACATTATTCAGAGGATCTTTGCAAGCCTGTACGACTATTCACAAGCACTGGTGTCCATGACATTGTTCGTCTCTGGAGAGATTGTCTTAGAATGGCTATATCTCCTGTGGAAAACTTTAAGCAATACTGGCCAGAAAAGCCAAGTAATCTCAAGTAATCACTATAAATCCTTATTTATAATTGATTTTCAGTCTATCAATTCCTCACTTTTTTCTTAAATGACCTAAAGTGGAGTGATCATTGCATGTTCACTAATCAAAGAAACATGAATAAACGAATATTATTTATGTTTCTAGGAAAACTGTTGAAAGATATGCTGTCGAGATGAAGGGGTTGACAGAAAAGATTTTTGTCTTGATAACTGAAGGATTAGGCCTTGAATATGATTATCTAAATGGTGGTCTGAGTGGTCAGCCTATGGTATCACACGTGAACTACTACCCGCCATGCCCAGACCCGTCTCTTACATTAGGCTTGGCTAAGCATTGTGACCCGGGTCTTGTTACACTTCTCCTGCAAGGCGACGTCAGTGGCCTCCAAATTTTATGCAATGGGGAGTGGCAGGCTGTTGATCCAGTTCCCAATGCAATTATTGTGATTTACGGCCATCAAATGGAGGTATATATATATTTTGCTTCTTTGATCATCATAATTTTATTTAAAAATTCAATATTTTTTTGGTAGTTCGTTACTAATGGAGAACTGAAGAGTGTGGAACATCGTGCAATAACAAATGATATGCTATCGAGAATAAGCATTGCGACCTTCATCCAACCAGCTATGGATTGCCTTGTTGCACCTGCCAAAAAACTGCTCGACGAAAAGAACCCACCGCTCTATAAATCCTTTCTATTCGGCGATTATTTTGCTAATTATGTTGCTAATCTAGGTGATAAATCGAAGGTTACTGAACATTTTCAGAACACGACTCCATAAAGTCAGCCTAGCTATTTTCATAGCTAAGGATCTCTTCTCCATGTATAAAAAAGGTTTGGCCGTGTCAGTACATGTATCAATGTCCGTTTATTTTGTACTAGTGTGTGCGTTTGAATAAGAAGTTTAAAAATGTGTAATATATCCAAGAATGGATATTTATCCTACCAGTAATGTTCTAAATTTGTAATTTTTCTTAATTAATGTTAGTTGTTGCATGTTGTCGTTACTTTTTGAATGAAAAGCTTGTATTGAAATAAAGCGTTTCCGGTATGCTACTCTGCTTTATGGCTGCTTCTTCGCCTATTATTCTCAGTTCTTCTAGATGGTTGCTCTTATGCTTCACCTAGTTTTCAAAGATTTTATTGGTTGTATATATGCTGATTACTATCCTGCTTATTTCTTGTTCTTTGTGCTGTACAGCCACTACATTTTTGAATCTCTATGTGTGGACTTGACATCTTGATGCATCTTGATGAGTTGTAGGAACTGAGGGAAGTATCAAAAGAGTGAATACAAACTCGACTCATCTAAGAGGAACTCGATAACAAGAGGCACCCTCGTCGGAAGAGCCCAACAAAAAGGGGCACTCACCTCAAAAGTGCATGACTAAAAGCGGCACTCGTCTAAAAAGTACTCAACCGATATAGGGACACCCTCTAAAAGTATTTATCCTACTAAGGAACTAATCCTAGGAAAGGAGAGCCCCGAAAGAACTCTCCCTTGTGATAGTGATAACCTATAATAGAGGGCCACTTGCACCATCAGCCGGATATGCTAACCTATTCCAACTCACTAGTTGCAAATAAATATACTTAGCAAACATGTTAGCCTTATAGATTATTTACCAAAGGCACTTGAAAGAGGTGTTTGAGGGCCATGAGAGGGAGGAGAGGATGAATTATTCTGTGCAGACGCCGAACGCTGTTCATAGCCCAATAAAAAGGTGCCATGTCACCCCCTACTTGATATCGTGACTCGGTACTACTCGGTACCGAGCTCAATATTGCTTGGTACTAGATGATTGATGCATGTGGCTGCACCTGATTCGACTCTAGACAGTAAGTTGTGCCCGATGTCTACATAGAATAATATCTCCCATGAGAGACATGGTTGTCCATCTGTAGACAGAATGTCAAGTCTATGAATCTATAACAGTGAAATCATATATTATTTTATCATTTATTTTTTATAACCTCTTCTATAGCCACATCACTGTTGAATGTCTATGATGCACTAAAATATTGATTATATTTTCTATATTCAAAGTGCTTCACTAAATTTAAGGAGATGTTTATCACACAATTCATGAGTGCATATAAACCTCATAAGTACTTAAAATATCTCCTATAAGTTTTAAGCTTTTATGAAAGTTTATTATCAAGTTCTAAAGGGAAATATTATATGTGAAAAAGTCAAAGTCAATTATCGTTGAATTTTCAACATCATCCAAGTTTTGAGAGAGGGTCCATTCAAGTATCCGCAACAAATGCATTAGTTGAGAATGATGGTAGAAAAATTAGAACCCACTAATGGCCATATCAACTCAAAATAGTACAATTGTAAAGCTGAATTTTACATTACCTCTTTCCCTATAAATGTCAGTACAAAATGCAACCACCATCAAACCCTCAGCAAAAAAGCAGTCTTTGAAGGATAAATATGCCTTAAAGGGACATCACATTTCTCATAATTCTATCCCTACAAAACCAAAACAGCACCTTGTGGGAAAATAAAACCACCTGCAGATTTTGCGAAAACTCTTATTTTTGTGGTCGAATATTGCATAGAGAATACTATACCATCCCGAGAGATAGTGATAACATTCTACAATGGATTCAAAGAAAAAAATAGAGTTTACAATTTAGTATTCTTATGATCAAACCTTATAAAGATAAATAATATATTTTCTTGGGAGAAAAATAAGTACAATGATAATAAAAATTGAATATATATCTATTTTTTTTCACCATTTCTATACTAAAATACCAAAAGAGAATAGAAAATATTCTCAAGAGATGAACATGATATTTACAATTGTATTCAAGAATGAAAATGGGATTTTAGAATTATATACGTCTACACCCTAGAGATTTTTTACTTACCTTAAGGGATGAAAATAGAGTTTATTTTCTAACTACGATTGCAATTTTTTCATAAAGGTAAACCTTTATTATTAATTATATCTCAAGTGGAAAAGATTCTTAAGAAAACTATCGATTAAAATAGTGGTTAATTTATTTTTGACAAGGTTTAGGAGACTATTATTCTAAAAATGGGACTTACTCAAGATTAAATAATTCTTTCTTAAGATGAAAGGATGAAAGAAAGGGAACACTATGATTCTAAGATGCTCATAAGTGCTCTAGTTTATATTATATTGAGATTTAGTACTTTAGAATGAGATAAACTTTATATTTAAATTGATAATTTATTAAAAAGGTAGTATTGCATTCCTAGAAGGTGGAAACTTATGATATAAAGTTTGTCTCAGAACCTATAACTAAGGTAAACCTTTACAAGCTATTGATTCAAACCTAGTCTAAAGAGAACCAGGGATTTGTGAGGTTGGACTTATATCTTCAAACTTTTAATAATTAAAAAGAAGTTTTATACTACTAGACTTATAGAAAAGTCTGTATAGGTTGTTAGACATACGCAATTGTTCCAAGGCTAACCAAGAGGGAGGGGATGAATTGGTTATTTAAAAAATCTCTCTTGAATAAAAAAAAAAACTATTTAATAATTTCCACAATTTAATTTTCTTTTTAAAATAAGCTTTTCAACCACAACAACAAATTGCTGAAAATAAAATACAGAAATATAAAAAGAACACATTAATTTATAGTGGTTCGGTCCAATAAGACTTACGTCCACTCCCTGAAGATTCTCACTTCAGGTATTACACTATTACCAAAGTGACTCTTCTTTTGCATCCACAATAAGGCAAAGAAGCCTTTATAATTTTTGTCTCTTCCACCAATTCTCGGTACGGCAAAGTACCATCATCCTTTCACACCCTCCAAGTGTCGGCAGAGTACCATCATCCTTTCACATCCTCCAAGTGTCGGTAGAGTATCGTCATTCTTTCACACCCTCCAAGTCTTAATAGAGTATCGTTGTCCTTTGACACCCTCCAAGTGTCGGTAGATAACCGAATCTTCTCCAAAGATATTCTCTCAAGCAACTAGAAAGAAAATTGAAGAGAATTGACACAAAAATAAAAAAGATTCACACATTTGAGTAATCTTGTAAATTCTTCACACTCCACTTATAAGAACTCTTTGTTAAACACTCTTCCAAATAAACCCTTCACTTGCTCTCTAAGAAATCACAAAGACTAGATACGACCAAGTTAGATTCTACAGACCTTTTATATGAAAGACACGAAAAACTATCCAAAAAATTAAAAATTTCAATTTTGAGCATCAACGATCATACAGTACGGTCGACAATCGTTCAATATGAATAGTTCAAAATTTGCTCGTATGATCTGTATAAACTATTTTTGTACAAGCATATCATATAGTACGATATGTATATCGTATGGTTCAAACTATTATAAAAAATTTCCTATTCGTCTGGATGAAAATGTTTCCCATAATTTTATACTCTGTGTCATATGTACGAACTCTAGATCATCTCAGACGAACAATTCAAAAAATTTACCTGTTCATATGGACGAAAATGTTCCCAACATTTTTGTACTCTAGACGTCATTTGTATGAACTCCAGATTATCTTGGAAGAATAACTCAAAAAACTTACATGTTCGTATGGTAAAAAATATTCCCAATATTTTCGTACTCTGGATGTCGTGTATATAAAGACAACTTCATACAGTATGAACAATACTTATAAAATTTTTCACGTCTATGCTTTGATTAACTTCTTGGTGGAGAAAATAACTAAATAAATTGTCATGTACGTATTGAAATCATACAGTATGATTAGTTTAAAAATTTATAAATTTTTAACACTCCCTCAGTGTGTGTGTGTGAATAGTTACTTAATTAAACTCATACTCTCTCAGACTCATTAAAAGTGTAAAAATACAAACTCCAATTATAATGAACCCTAAATAAATCTAATTTGAAATCTTCAATAGTATGGAGTATGATTTTTTTGTAATGTTAGTACACACAAATAACAAAAGTAATATATCTAATATATATTAGGAGAAACAGTAATTCAAATAATAATATTTGGAATCATCAAAAACACACATGTTATGAAAACATACTTATAAAAACTAAGTTGGAATAATCTTCCCATTTTTTATGATGGTAAAATAATTATTGTTTGAGTTAGCATTTAAAAAAAAAATTCTCTTTAGCTCCCCCTAAATGAATGACCAATATAAATTTAGGAATTCCCATGAAGATAAAAAACTATTAACCTAAAAAAATAAAAGGACACAAAATCAAAATCAAATTTGAACAAAAATTCAAACAAAAAATACGAACACGAAATACTATGAACATAAAACACAAACATGAAAGAACACTAAAAAATATAACATATACATAAAACATGAACACATCACAAAATAAACACATCAATCAAATAATATTATTACTCCCCCTTTTGATAACAACAAAAAGAGAAGTAGAACTTAAAATGAAAGGTTGCAATAGATAAACTAATAGAATTGATCTAGAAAAAAAGATTTTTTAAACAAATTATAAATACAATATTAATTTCATAATACTAAAAATAAAAAATTCAAAATTTTAAATGAAAAAATAATGAAGAGAAGAAAAATAAATCAAAGTCATTATTTAAGTTAGATAAATTAAATAAATATAATTATTATAAAAATAATGAAATGAAGATTAATTAACTTCAAATTAAATATATAATATGATTGTTAATTAGATTGGTTTGAATTAGAGATTAAAATATAGTGGAAAGAACTTAATAAAAATTTTCAAATTGTGACATTGCGTATTTTTTCAAATCTTTCTGGCACACTTTGTGCTTCTTTTTTATTTGTGCCTCTTT